TGTTTTTTTTATATGGCAATAAGCAGAAAGCTCTGTGACATGTTAACCCTTGAGGAAGGTCTCCCTGCTCTTTCTGGGAGCCTGTCTGCTTGGAAAACCCCTGGATTAATCTGACTGAGAGCAACTACAAATTCTTATTTCACTAGCAATTAGGTGGTATGCACAGTTGCTTGCACTGGCAGATTCTTTTGTTAGAATGCAGAAGCTACATGGAATCATCTAGAAATGATGCTAAAACTGCAAAGGGTGTAATTTTAAAAGCAGCAGTTCAGGCCACTCAACAGAACAAAGTGGCTTCAGCAGCTGAGGGCGTTTCCTTCCACTGGATGCCTGCAAGCAAGTGTGAGGGTGTCTTTGCATTGGGTGAGGCCTGATCAGAAACTTGCCAAGCAGAAGCCTTGGTAGCTGGTGGTCGTCACTGGATTGCACTTAAGTGATTCAAGTGCTGCAAAGGTGTACCTGGATTGGTCACAGTAATGTTCTCTGCTGTCTCTTCTCTTGGACTACCAGATCAGGTGATTATCATGGTGTCCTAATTAGTACCACAATACCTATTTTTAGTCTTCTGGTCCTGAAGCCTAGATACATTAATCAATATGATAACTGTCATTCTGGAGGGCTCTGCTTGATGCCTTGTTCTAATTTCCAGGTCAGACAGTTGTGAGCAGTATCTTTACTGAGTGATTCAACCCTTTTGTCTTTTTTTTAACATCTGTAAGTAATAGAAAGAGCAAGTGCTGCAAAGCTGTACCTGGATTGGTCACAGTAATGTTCTCTGCTGTCTCTTCTCTTGGACTACCAGATCAGGTGATTATCATGGTGTCCTAATTAGTACCACAATACCTATTTTTAGTCTTCTGGTCCTGAAGCCTAGATACATTAATCAATATGATAACTGTCATTCTGGAGGGCTCTGCTTGATGCCTTGTTCTAATTTCCAGGTCAGACAGTTGTGAGCAGTATCTTTACTGAACAGGACAAGCTTCCTTGAATCCTTAAGAAACCCCAGGGATTCCAATACAAGTCACTAGAGAGGCATGAGCCTACAAGTGGAAATGCACCAGAGCAGCTGTTAACAGTTGCTGTAGTTACTGCCCACCAGAAGCCTCCTGGCTGTTTCTGCAAAAGGGAAATGAGAGGTTCCAGTGAAGGCCCTGGGCTGGATTTGGGTGAGTTTGTGGCTCAGCCCAGCTATTTCCCTACTGTGCTGCTCAGGGAGTCCCAATCCTCTGTACCTCTTTGGGCATGTGCTGCAAACAAGGAGTAATCTCTTACCAGCTGCTGAGCTTGGATTATAGTCCCTTGAGGGTGTGAGGTGACAGACTGGTTTCTGATAACTGGAATGGAGAAGCTTCAGTTCTCTTGTCCACTGCCCGGAGTGCAGGGTAGAAGCAATGGTGTCCTAGCAGAGAAATGCCTCCAGGTATGAAGGAGCTGCCAGACCTGGCAGGCCAGAGAGCCAAAATAATTTCATGGGAAGGCCTTAGGGTGGGTGCCTGTTCTGATAAAGGAACAAGCCTGGGGCCTGGAGATGAAAGCTTAATTCCTTTGATCTGCACAGTCTTCGTGTCTTCAGTCTTCAACCATAAACAAGTTGGTCCACATTCCTACTTGTAGGAGGGATGTTGGAATGCAGTGTCCTGAATGATGAGCTACTAATGCTGCAGGAGCAGGTGCTTGTGTTGATAAAGGATTGATGTGGAACATCTGCTTGAGGTGCTCACTGGGTTAATGCTTTTTAGAGCTGTGGTGACAAGAAGGGGAGCTCCTTGCTTCCAGTTCAGTGGAGAAATGCTGCTCCAGCACTTTCTGTAGGGGAAACAGCATTCTGTCCTCCTGGAGTCAGTGTAAGCACTGAGCCTTTCTGCCATGATTGTGTAATCCTAAATGTCTCTGGCATGGAGCCAGAAGCCCACAGTGCTCACAGGACTAGGGCAGACCTGTGGTTTGATGATCATGTGTTTCATATGGCTCCAGGTCCTTCACTGAAGACCAGACTCCTGAAGAACAGAGGTGATAACCTTGTGCTGTCTTCAAACAGTAATATGCTTTGTTAGGGGCTGCTGAGGCTGCAGGCTGTGTTCTTGCCCCACTCTCTCTGCAGTTAATGGTTCTAGTGCATGGAAGAATTGCCTACAATGTCAACGTGTTTAATCTGACAAAGCAGACACCATCTTGTGTCCACACCTGCCCATCTCTTGTGCAGGCAATTGCTAGGCATGGAGGGGTGTGCAGCCAGCACCTAATCATGGGTTGCTTTCTCCACAGGACTTAAAAGTTCATAAATTCAGAACTTGCTGATTTGTGTAATCCTTTCCTTAGTTTAGCTGAGAGGAAGCAGTTTCCTTTTAGCTTATCATACTTTCCAGACTCAGCAGTTCATATTGTTAGCACTGTTGATCCTGTTTTGCATCCTGCTTACTTATCTTTATTGTCCAAACTCTGGGCTCTGCATCTCACTGCTAGTGTTATCTGGCTGAGAAACACTGACCAAGTTGCCTGTCATTCAGTTGGCAACAAAGTGAGCTGTGGTCCCAGTGAAATTCATGTCTGAATGGTAACCTTCTAGCTGTCCTTCCTCTGGTGCTCAAATGGGGCAGCCTCTGCCTGAACCAGTGTCAGTGACCTCTGAACCATGCACCTTTGTGCTGTTTGGTCTGTGCCTTCTTAGCAAGTACCAGGATTGCATACCTCTCAGGGAACATAAACTGTCCCATGGGTTGACTGGGGAGAAGTGACTCTACTGTTGTAGTCCCTGTAGTGTTTGGAGTCCCACCACGTCTGTTTGGACATGAGCTGTGCTGGCACTGCTTGGAACTGTGTTCCAGGGCATGCTCTGTAAGCTCCACGTCCCTGCATAGTGCTAAGGCAATACACAGCAAGGGGCCAAAGCCTTCTGGCCCGAGGAGCAGGAGTGGGAAGCTCAGTGTGCTGTACACAAGGTCTTTGTGTAGTTAGAAGGTTTGAAAAGGTGTAGCTCTTACCTGCCTCCTTTTAAGTCCAGCTAACAGCTAGTGTGTGGCAGATAGGAGGTGTTTTAGCATGTCTAGGATGAGTGATAGGGGTCTCCCTCTGTTATATATGCTTTATATATACACACACACTGCTAGGTGATAGCTGTAACCATCAGAGGCAGTGGGAGCCTAGGCAGGGCCAGGCTGGATAGAGGCAATGCCTGCTGGCTTGACAGCTGTCCTCAGCAGGCAGCCAGAGACAGTTGTGGCTACCAGATCTGGACTGCAGAAGGCCAGCCTACAGAGAGGGAGTTTCTAAAGCTTTTGGAAGCTTCACCTTATGAAGGGTATCCTCTCAACAGTTCTCATGCAGCTGTACAGAACCTTCAGGCAGCATTCAATGTTGCCTGTGATATCACAAGATTGCTCAGATGCTGCCTGGCCCTCTTTGCTTGTGTGCTCTGGTGCTGAAATCTGCTCAGCAGGTGGTAGGGGCAAGCTTCTGGCTGGTGGGGTCTACCTGAATTTAGAAGAGGAAGAGACTTGCAGTTACATGCAATAAATAGCTTTCTGTAAAGCAAAGTTCAGACATCTTCAAGGCTAGTTCTTATACCAGCTTACTGGGGCTTTCTTGAACAGCACATGTGCATTCTAGCAGCAATGAATAACATAACAGGTATCCTGAGAATAATGCAATGGTAGTGCCATGGTGTTCTTTGGTTTGGTTTTGGTTCTGTTTCTGGCAAACAGCTGGTTCTTAGGCTTTGTGGGAGCCTGAAGAGGTTTCATGCCCCCTTCTTCCCCAAGACTGGAGGGAATGTAGCCTCTGTAGCTGTCAGGACAGCTCCTGGAACACGCAGTAGTTTGGGGAGATCAGAATGGCAGTGGTGACCAGTTTGGGCCTGCTGAGGAAGCATCAGGCTCTTCCCTATGGCTTGCTATTTGTAATAGATAAAAGCACTTAATTCCTGCCTTAGATGAAAACAGCTCTCTGATGTAATGGTGAGGAAACATCACAAGGCCAGGCTTTAAGAATAATTCTGCCATGTATTGTCGAAGCACAGGATAATGAAAACTATTACGGTTGTTGATGTCTTCTAAATAGCATAATGGGCTGCGTTAAAAGAAGTGTGGCCAGCAGATGGAGAGAGGTGACCCAGCCACTCTTCTCTGCCCTGGTGAGACCTCACCTGGGGTACTGTGTCCAGCTCTGGAGCCCCTAGCACAAAGATGTGGACCTGTTGGAGCATGTCCAGAGAAGAGCCACAGAAATGATGAGGAAGCACCTCTGCTGTGAGGACAGGCTGAGAGAGTTGGACTTCCTCGGCCCGGAAAAGAGAAGGTTCCAGGGAGACCTTCTTGCAGCCTTCCAATATCTGAAGAGGGCCTACAGGAAAGCTGGGGGGCCT